GGGGGGGGAGGGGAAATCCAGTAACTGTTTTAAATGTTGGTATTAGATGTCTAAAACACTTGACTGAATGAAAAAAAAAAAAAGGAAAAGTCTCAACTGGGCTTAATGCTATTGAATTTTGGGCAACCATCACAAACCTTAGACCTGTTAGAACAAATGACAGTTTCCTCCACTGAAATTAATTTTTACTTCTAGTTTGAGTCCCAAAGTACATTATTTTTCTTCAGGTTATGGAATTATTATCTTGGATAATGTCTTAAAGTGTAAGTAACAGAGACAGTTTGTTTGCCTTTCCTCTTTCCAGCTTTTCTGCCTGCCTCAGGGGGAGGGCAGATTGACTTAAACCGTATCTGTAAATGGTGAAATGGGGAGCTAACATAGTCATGGCTACTTTGGCTCTGGTTTTATTGCTCTGGTGAGCAACTTCTGATCATAGGTTTTTAAATGCTGGGACCGAACTATAATATGCCCTTGACCAAATGTATTCCTGTGTACTTTTGTAGATGTTTAACTCTTTATCACAAGTATCCGATTGCAATAGAGATGAATGCCTGGCTGTGTGAGGACTGGGGAGAGGGCAGAGGGGTTGTAACAAGAAGGTGTGCTGGTTGCCTAGTTTAGTTCGACAATATCCAGCTTATTTTTCCTTCCAAAGTTGTGTTGGGACATGCTTCTCTCAAACATGGAGCTGTAGTTTATGTGACACCTAAAAGAGACATTGGGTGCCAAAAAGCTGGACAGAAAGCTTTACCTCCTGAGCCACTCAGGAGCCTGGTGTCTCCACATTCAGGTTTTACCATCTCATTAGCAGGTAGCCTGGATTATTTTTGGGACATCCAACACTTCTCTATTTATATCTTTGCTTGTCAGACAGTAAAATGAAAGTTCCTTTCTGTAGCTCATCTCTCTGAATATAACTAGGAACTTAGATTATGGTTTCATATCCACACACTGTCCTCCTTGAAACCAGCGGGTTAAGGAGCTCGTATTTCAAATAAATATATCTATCTTTCAAAAGTAATAGCTGGCAGAGGCCAATTATTTCATACATCTCTGTGTGGTATAAATAGGGTAAGCCACAGTAATCTGTGGTTTTCAATAATTATCACTTTTTCATTCACAAATAGTTGGATCCTCACTTGTTTTATATTTATGGCAAACCAGAAAGCCTGTGTGGTTGACCTTTCTAAATTGTACATATATAGTAAGATGTATAGTGAAGAGCCAATAGGCCCCAACCAGTAAAATATATTTCAGCTTGTAGTTCATCCCAGGGTGTCAATTTTAAAAGCAAAATCTTTCCAATGCAATTTAAATGACTAGCTTATGGAAGGGGGGAATTCTGACAGGGTTTGCAACAACTCTTTTCAAGTTTACCAGCATGAAGTCCACTGCTGCAGGTGTCTGCAAAGTTTCCAGTTAAAACTCTCATATTGCTGCAAAGTAAAAATTCTTTTTTTCCCCCCAAATCTTTGAATGGCTTTACAAGAATGTAAAGCCAATTGCAGCATCAGTTTCTCTATTATTTTTCCTCACTGGCAGAATGCAATGCCCTCGAAAAATGATAGTCCCTGAGACCCTGTCAGTTTGCATGCTCTAACACTTTATTATCTAATGATCTAATATGCAACAAGGCAAAGAGGGGGTGCTTATCACCCTGACAGGATGCCTAAGAGAAGTGACTAAATTACTTTATGTACCATTAGCGCTAGCTGCCACGGTGAACTCACTGTGAGCATTTATGCAAATATTCCTGAATACATTCAAGTGGCCTTGTCAGGAAGACAACTGACAAGCAGCTTAAATGCTTGGGTTTTTAAAGGGACAGTTTTATTTCTTTTTCTTTTCCTTCTTCCTCCTCCTCCATAGGAGAGTGCTGAAGAATTAGGTGATGGTGAGGTTTTCTGGTGCTTTGGTTCTGAGTCAGCTCAACAGCAGCAAAAGATGAAAGATGCAGGGTAGAAATAGGGACAAAGTATAAGACATGATGTCAGAATTGCAGATGGAAGCAGAGACAACCATTATTTCTAAAGCAATGTCCTGCCATTATTTTAATGTGGAATATACATAAATCTGTGTGTATGTGTATATATCTAAAATAGGTCATTATGTAACAAAACCATTAGTTGTGTCTGCCTTATACTGGAAATGATAGTGCATGGCTGGATTATTTGATCACTCTGTTATGGTACCTGAAACAGTCAAGCTTTTATATTGTTTTAGTTCGTGATAGTAATGAGTGATTCAGACCATTTGCTGTCTGCAGGTGCAAAACCTCCTACAGTAAATGAAAAGTAGTAGTTGCTGTGCCTCAGCTGGGTACGTCAGGTAGATCCTCTTGTCAGCAGTGGTGCATTTAAAGAGATTTTCTTGCCAATCCTGCTCATCCTGGGCAATCTGAGAGCCCACAGTCACCACACTAGGCACATTCACTGATTTTTCCACTAAATC